TATTTGAAAATAATAAATGAACCAATTACAAAGCCTTTATTTGATCACACCACTTGTGTCTGTCGTTGGTGTTTTTACGTACTCTCAAGAAGCTGTCCAGGGAACCGTTCTCCATGTATTCAGTCACAATCATCACTGGTTTGCCTGTGATAAGAGAGAGAGAGAGAGAGAGAGAGACATTGTGTCAACATGGTCACAACACAACACAGTGCAGTTCAAATCCCGTCAGAGTGAAAAGCTCACAGTCAGACATCCTCATGTTCCTGGATTTATTTACTGAAACAGGAAAAGTCAAACTGGATTCACAAGTAGAGGTGTAGCCTGACACACAACACCCCCCACCCCCCCGTCTGTCCATGGGATTTAGAAAAACACTGACTCTCTCTCTCATACACACACAGAGAGAGAACGTGTGGATTGAATCGTTTGAATGAATTTTTCAGGGCTACAGAAGGTTAGGCGTCAAAGCATGACTTCTTCATTGGTGGCTGTAAATCCTGAGTGTCTGTTATCATCTGTACCTGATCAGACTACAGCTGTCTGCCGGCTTTATCACCCGGGAGTGGAAAGAAAGAAAGAAAGAAAGTCCATGAAGGAATCATTAAATCAAGCATTGTTAAAAGAACAGACTGGGTGTCAGAAGTTGTTTGTCTGCCAGATGGCTTTGTTCTCCACGTCTCAATTCAGGTTTTTTTTTTTTTTTTAATTCTGAATAATGCGTCCTCCTCCCTGCTCATTATTTTACCCCTTACTTTCTTCCTTTCTTTGCCATTTTGTCATTTCTGAGGCACAATCTCCACTATGATCCATTTCCTCGTACGCCCTCTCCTTTTTTTTTTTAACCTTCAAAGTCAAAACCATTTTTTTCTAAGATCACGCAGCTGAAGAAAAATAAAATATGATTTTGAAGAGAAATTCTTTTACCAATTGGTGTCAAATCCTGAGAATCTCATTAGGTCGACAGACAAATGCAGGTATATGACAGAGTGTATTTACTATTAAATATAACACACACACACACACACACACACTGTGCTCTCTTTCAGCCTCAACGCTATCGTTCAAAGCACAAGGAACAAAGATAAAGACTCTGAGTCCTTACTCTGTGATGACAAGTGTTTATGTCACTGTGTGTGTGTGAGTGTGTGTGTTTGTGTGTGTGTGTGTGTCTGCAAATATCCAACCCATGTATCAGCCAAAACCAGCAGCAAGGTAAATGGGCTGTGAAAGTCTCAGGATTATTAAGAATTAACAGAAGCACCTTAATAAATCAAGTCACGGTGTGTGTGTGTGTGTGTGTTTGTGTGTGTGTGTGAGAGTGTGTGCCTGACTTCATTTGTTTCATGTGTGTTTATTATATTATTGAAAGGACAGTTTAAGGAGGTCTACCACTGGTTTCTGTGTTTTTTGAGCAACACGACACAATGAACCCCCCCCACCCCC